CAGTGGCCTCATGGGCGCTTACAGAGCTCCCGTTTGTGCTCAGCCATTGAAAAGGACGGTGGGGATGTCAAAGCACTTTACCGGCGGAGCCAAGCCCTGGAGAAGCTGGGCCGCCTCGACCAGGCTGTCCTTGACCTGCAGAGATGTGTGAGCCTGGAGCCCAAGAACAAAGTTTTCCAGGAGGCCCTGCGTAGCATCGGGGGGCAGATTCAGGAGAAGGTATGTGAGCGACAGAGAGTATGGTGTTGACTGGTGGTAGAGAGACACTGGTAAATGGATCTGGGTCAAAGGTGTAAGCACAGTTCTGCAGAGAGGTACTGATAATACATGTGCTTATTGAATGATGTTCAACCTTACGAACTAAAATAACATCAAGGTGCTGTTCTTTTAGTGGTCTGGCAAACATTTAAAGTTTGTACACTTTGCTAGAAGGAGGGAGGCAGACACTTAAGTGGTGAGGTTGGGGGGATATGGGCCCACTCGTGGCTGCTGGTGGGGGTGTAAGTTGTACAGCTCCGTGGGAGAATATTTTAGCATATTTCTTAAAATTTTAAATGAGCGTATCATGTTTAGTTGTCTCCCCTTACCTATGTGCACAAGCAAGCATGTGTCTGTTTATTTCAGCCTTGTTTGTCTTAATGAAGAATTGGAACATGCCATATGCCAACTATAATTGAAAAATTAAGTTATTTTAAAAAACCCCAAAATTTGAACTCGCCTAAACGCTCAGCAACAGGGGAATGACTAGATAAACTGGATGATGCCCGTACAGCAGACTCTTACGTTAGTTACTTGGAATAGGTATAGCCACGTGCGTGGATATAGGAAGCTAACACTTGTTACATGAAAAAAAGTAAAATATACAATAACACACATAGCGAGATGTCCTTTATGTTAAAACAATCCTCTGTGTCCTCACCCAAAATAGCGCCATAGTTTTTCTGTGAGTATACCTGGGTACGTGAATATGAAGGAAAATCATTTACAAGATACACATTAACATCACAGTGTGCCCCTCGGGAAAGGAAGGGGATGAGGGGGCTTTTCCAGGCAGACTTTCCTTCATCTGTTCATTTTTTTAAATAAAGAGGCCGTTATTTGTGTGGCACATGCATTTAAAAATTAAGATAAAAATCTAAAGACTGTCATGAACTATAACCGAGTGTGAGTTAACCAGATAATTTGGTGTTAAAATGCTGACACAGCGGAAGAAAGCAGTACGATGGCAAACACCTTATTGAAAGGTCGAGACCTGGGAAAGCAGATTGTGTTCCTCTCAGGGCCAGCTCTGTTTGACTAGCAGGGTCTGCCTAGGGCCCTGTGTTGAGAAGGATTAGGAAGCAGGTCACCTGGGCCTAGCAGGAAAATGTACTGTGATCGATTAGTTGTGTTTGCTATGGATGCAAGAGGGGAAGCGGGGTGTAGCATACGTGCTAGGCTTATGCCACCATCCATGCCCAGAAACTGGGGAGGAAAAGGGCTCGAGATGATCTTGATCATTTGGGTTATTTCTTAAAACTATCAAAAGGAGAATTTTCGACCTAAAAGCAGAGTGGGCAACTACCTTACGACCTGCTGGCTCCCTTGCAGGAAGTATAAATGCTGAGTTCAGTGCCATGGATGGTGCATCCATGCTTCCCCAACATAGATGGCACGACTGGGCATGCGTTGCCTTGCGGCTAACAGGATGCCTCCCCTTCTGAAGGGCACTGCCTTCAGTGTGGGTGCCACCTCTGCTGCCCAAGCGGGAAGTCACTTGGAGAGGCAAATAGCCGCAGGAAGTTCAAGAAAGCTACCAGGCGAGTCTATTCCTGCCCAAGGTAGCTTGGCACTAGCCCTAAGCACAGACATCCTGGCTGTGCCTCCCAAGGATAAGAGCCAGGTCCTCGGAGGAGGAGGCGAGAACAAAGAGGGAATGTGTTGTCTCTGGTCAACAGAGGTGATTTCTTCCATACTTTTGTTGGTTTGTCATAGGTGCGATACATGTCCTCCACAGACGCCAAAGTGGAACAGATGTTTCAGATCCTATTAGACCCACAAGAGAAAGGCACTGAGAAGAAGCAGAAGGTACGGGGCCTGGACTGAGCAAGTGAGAGCTGAATTCCCAGTAGAGCTGTCCACCCATGGTGCCCTCTCTGTGCGCAGAAGCCCCTGTGGGCCGGGTCTGCTTGCCACTCATCAGATCGTGCGGCTGGGCTCACAGAGCCTGGGCGGGAACTCAGAGGGCCTGGGGCCTGAGTATGAGCCAAAGAGAGGGAACCAGTGTTCACTGAGCACCTGTTGGTCAGGCCCTGTGCCGGGAGCTGGGTTTGCAGAGGTGCTGAGGCACAGTCCCTGCCCTTTAGGCTCTGCCAGGGACTCAGGATCCCACGTACTCTGATCATCAGCCGAGAGTAGGCTCTTCTCTCTACCTACAAAGGAAGACACTAAAGTTTAGAGAAGTAAAAGTTATGGCCAGTGTCACTCAGCTGCTAAGGGGAAGCAGTGCGGGCCAGAGTTCAGGGCCCCTGCCTGCCCAGCCCTGTGCTGTGTGCAGTGCCCATGCTATCATGTGCTGCTTTGACACAGGCTTCTCAGAACCTGGTGGTGCTGGCCCGGGAGGATGCTGGAGCTGAGAAGATCTTTCGGAACAATGGGGTCCAGCTCTTGCAACGCCTGCTTGACACGGGAGAGGCCGACCTGATGCTGGCTGCTCTGCGCACGCTAGTTGGCATTTGCTCTGAGCACCAGTCACGGGTAGGTGGGATCTAGTTCCCGCCTCGGTCGGTCCATCCACCCACCCTCCCACCCTCATCTTACTCCAAAAAGAACAGAGTAAGGCAGAGTACAAAGAGATGTGTAATAAGAGGAGAAATTAAAATGGCTCAAAAAAGACCAACATGATTTGGGACAAACGGGGTAGGAAGGACAAACGGGCTACGACAAACAGCCACCCACTGACACCTGAGCACTTGGTTTGGGGAAAGGGGCCACTGAGTGCGAGCCAGGCTTTCCCGCAGCTGCTCACGGCAGCTGGTCACGGAGACGGCTGGTCACCGATTTCACTCTCCTCCCATGCGGCGAAAGCAAACTCTGTTGCAGAGAACAGGGCATCTGTCCTTCCCTGACAGTCCTATGGGCATTTCTCCAGCAGGGGGGCCTCACGGTGCTTGATGTGGTCAGTGGTGCTGCCCACCGCAGGGTTACCATTGAGACAGAGATCAGACATGAAGGGCTTGACCCTGAAATGCCTCTCAGCCTAGACTGTGGGTGCCCGGCAGACAGTTCAGCAAAAACAGCCCTTCCCTGGCCGGTGTGTTCACTGAGCACCTTGTTAGCCATGTCCGAGTGCTTGCATGAGCTGGCGGGACCCAGGGAACAGGGACTTGACCCTTGGTTGCTTTTAGAGAAGCCCACAATTTCTAGCTCAGGGGTGAAACTGAAATATTCTGTAACAGCTCTTTAGGCCAAATTCAGGCTATATTTCTGGGTCTCCTAGGACTAAGTGGCAGACCCACGTGGATTCTGTCTGCCTCCCTTAGCCTTCCTCCCCTTCCCTGTGTGAACTGGGACAGAGCCACGTGGACCTGCCGGGCTTTCCAGCTTAGAAATGGGGCAGAGAGGCTTGCGGTTTGTTCCATGCATTTCTACATCCCCAGGGTGTAGACAGGGCCTCAGGGTTGGCACTGGAGAGGGACTGGGTGTCTTTGGCCTGGTCGTCAGATCTGTCCAGGCTTAGGTGTCTCCTTCTTGGGGAGACATGAACCGGATTGGCCGCTCTCGGGGCCACGGTATTTTCTGATGGGAGCCGAGGGGAGGGGAGGCAGTGGTGGCTTCTTCTGTAACATTTTCTTTCCAGCAGAAGACTCTAGTTATTCTCTCGGTCACACCCTCGGTCATGCTACTCTGTCTTCTCTTGGAGCTGCTTCTGCCAAATGTTGTTTGTCTTCTGGCCACACTCACAGCCCAGGCAGGGGTCTCTGTGGCGGCCACCCTTCACCAACCGGAGGCTCTGTCCCCCTCTCGCACCCAGACAGTGGCGACCCTGAGTGTGCTGGGAACTCGGCGGGTCGTCTTCATCCTAGGTGTGGAAAACCAGGCTGTGTCCCTGGCTGCCTGCCACCTGCTGCAGGTGATGTTTGATGCCCTCAAGGAAGGTGTCAGGAAAGGCTTCCGAGGCAAAGAAGGCGCCATCATCGTGGGTGAGTGGAAGTAGTTCGGTGCTCTGTTGAGTGTCGATGTCACGGAGCGGAAAGGGCTGAGCCAGCCAGGCCAGGCCTTTTGAAGCCAGCCTGGCAGGTGCTGAGGTTTCAGGAATATGGCGTGGAATATGACAGTATTTTACTCTAGATTCTTAAGCAGCCGGGGTGGGGAAGGCTGGAGCCCAGCCCAGAGCCCGGATGCAGGTCTCCCTCCCCGTGTCTCCCTGGCCTCTTGGGGAAGTTCAGAGGTCAGACAGGGCCGGGCCACCACAGAACCCCTTTACATCTTCTTGTTGCCAGATCCTGCCCGGGAACTGAAGGTCCTCATCAGTAACCTCTTGGAGCTACTGACCGAGGTGGGGGTCTCAGGCCAAGGTCGAGACAACGCCTTGGCCCTTCTGATTAAAACAGTGCCCCGGAAGTCTCTTAAGGACCCCAACAACAGCCTCACCCTCTGGGTCATTGACCAAGGTAGGTGATACCTGTTGTAGAAAGAGACCGAGCATTTTGTAGGATTTTGCTTGGGTGGCTGGGCCTGCTTACCCCGAGCAGTGGTTGCACCCAGCCACGTGCCTACACTGAGGTGCACCCTGTGGCCTGTGCTGGACCCTTAGGGAACTCAGAGTTAGACCCTTAGCCATGAGCATGCGCTCGCATGTGCACGTCGAGCGGGCCTGCAAGCAGGGTGACAGGAGGCCGGGCCAGCTTTCTGTATCTGAAAGCTTTTTCAGTGAGTGAGTTTTGCTTCCGTACTCAGGAAAAAAATATTCAAGTTTACTATATGAATTCATACTGCTTTTTTTCCTCAAACGATAAATAAAGCAAGCTTGGCAAAAGTCCCTGCATGAGCACATCTATTGGGTGCCTACCTTCCTTTGTTACCTCAGTAATCCTGCGAGGCGTGCGTGTTATTTTCCCTTAAGTTAAGCACCTGAGGAACCTCAAGGCCATGGAGCATTCAGCCCTACTGGCCAGACCTCACTTCTGAGGTCCCTGACCCCACAGCTGCCTCTGTTGGCAGCGGGTCAGCCAACCCGCTCTCAAGGCTGCAGCTGTCTGCGCCCTGCAACCTGGTCCAGCGTTGACCTGCTTTCCCGCGTTCCCCAGAAACTGCTCCCCTTTGCCTGTCAGGGTTGGAACCAGTGTTCTGCTTCTAAATCGGTATCTTTTTAGGTCTGAGAAAGATTCTGGAGGTGGGGGGCTCTGTACAGGAGCCTCCTGGGGCGCTCACGGTGACAGCGAACAGCCGCATGAGTGCCTCCATCCTCCTCAGCAAGCTCTTCGATGACCTGAAGTGTGATGCCGAGAGGGAGAATTTCCACCGACTCTGTGAAAACTACATCAAGTAAGCGGGTCGGCCCGTCTCCCACCGCCAGGGGTCCCAGCAGGAGTCCTCGCTTCTTGGGGAGGGAGAGCCGTGAAAGGCTTCCCAGGAGGGGAGCAGCCGTGCAGGGGACTGGAAGGGGCCAGAGTGCTTCCAAGGCCCTCTTCTTGTTCCAGAGCGACCTCCCAGGGACCTTCTTTCTCGCATCATTCTCTATAATGCCACGGATGCCATCAAGCACATGCTGTGTTTACTGAGCACTTACTACGTCTTTGTGAACGCAGTAGTGCAGCGCGACAGTCCCGCCCTTAAGGAGCTTACAGCTGGGGGAAGGCTGATGAAATAAGCAGGGCAATTTCATATTGTAAAAGTACAGGAAAAGAGATACCAGGGCGGTGTGCGTGAGAGGTGGAGTGTCATCGGGGAAGGCGCGAACAGAAGCCTAGATGAAGAGCATCCTGTCGGGGACAAAACCCTGTCTTCCTGTTGGCAGCCTTTCTTGCTGTTCCTGCCCAAGTAGTGCAGATGCTGTCCAGTGGAGGGGAGGGGAGGGCAGGGAAGGGAAGGGGAGTCTCTTTATGCTGGCCTTGATGTGACAGCTGTCACTCTGTGCCCCTCAGGAGCTGGTTTGAAGATCAAGGGCTGGCTGGGAAGCTACGGGCCATCCAGACGGTGTCCTGCCTCCTGCAGGGCCCTTGCGATGCCGGCAACCGGGCCCTGGAGCTGAGTGGTGTCATGGAGACCGTGATCGCTCTGTGTGCCTCTGAGCGGGAGGAAGAGCAGCTGGTGGCTGTAGAGGCCCTGATCCACGCGGCTGGCAAGGCCAAGCGGGCCTCATTCATCACTGCCAACGGCGTCTCGCTGCTGAAGGACCTTTACAAACGTAGTGAGAAGGACAGCATCCGCATCCGGGCACTGGTGGTGAGATGGGTAGCCCTGGGCTGAGCAAGTAGGCTGCCGAGCCAGGGTACCAGGCTGGCCGATGTCTCAGGCAGTGGCCCCACCACATCCTAGGAGAAAATATGGGATGTGCAGGGCCCCTTGTCCAGGCCAGAGGCATGGGCCTTGGCTCCTCCTCCCACAGAGTTCAAGGTTCAAGTCAGAGAGATGAACCTTATACAGAGAGAACACTAGACAGTGCAGGCGGCATATGCTGCCCCCTGGAAGCAGTGAGAGAAGCTCCAGGAGGAGGTGATGAAGGAGTTTGGAGGACATGCTGGGCCATGCTGGTCAGAAGGGCTGGACCTGCAGGTGGCCCCAGGAGCTGGTGTTTTGGGGTCTGTCTGGCTTTCATGAGCCTATTGCAGCCATGCACCTTGGGAAAGCTGGTCTTTTCCCTGGGGCACTTAGTTTCTCCGTCCTATAATAAAGGGTCTTGGCCTCGGCTGAGGCACTGGTCTTCTCCCAACACACGTCCTAGGTACACCTGTAAAGAGTTTTTTTTTTTTTTCGTGAGGTCTACAAAGGAACAGCAAATTCCAGGACTGATCTGGAGGAGTTGGGACCCAGGACAGCACAGTGGCTAACATGTCAGTCTGTTAACCAGGTTCTTTGTCACATGGCCACACCAGTAGCTCATTTTGCTGCAAAATGCTCTAGGTGGTAGCCTGGCGGGGGTTGTGTGGCCTCCTGAGAGCCTGGCAGAGTGCCAGGGAGGAAGCCTGTGTCAGGTGTGCAGGAGCTCAGCTCTGCATCCATCCCCAGAGGCCAACAGCTGCTTCTCGCCTCTTCCTCCAGGGACTCTGTAAACTTGGCTCGGCTGGAGGGACTGACTTTAGCATGAAGCAGTTTGCTGAAGGCTCCACTCTCAAACTGGCCAAGCAGTGTCGCAAGTGAGTCATCTGGCGTTGCTGTGGCTCCCCGCCTGTCAGTCTGACCTCAGAAGAGGTAGGGAGTGGGATCTGCTCACTGCCCTGCTCTTCCCCAGGCAGCCCCTCCTGGTCCTGCCTTTTCAACTGCTTCCCTTGTGAACTCGAGGGGATGCTCAAGCCTCTGGTGTTTCCCCCTTGGTCCTGGTATGCCCCTCCTCGCCTCCCATCTGACTGCCGTCCACTCCCCTGCCTGTCTGCAGGTGGCTGTGCAATGACCAGATTGACGCAGGCACTCGGCGCTGGGCAGTGGAGGGTCTAGCCTACCTCACCTTTGATGCCGACGTGAAAGAAGAGTTTGTAGAGGACGAGGCTGCCCTCAAAGCTCTATTCCAGCTCAGCCGGGTAGCTCTATGGGTTCTGCAGTCATCGGGGACACTGTCTAGGCTTTCGTGGCCCCAGGGAGGGAGGTCTGGTAGCCCACGTGGCAGCACTGTGTGGCATGGGCATACTGGCCAGCACCAGCGGTGTCAGAGAAGACCCTCTCTGGAGGAGTTGGGGAGGTCAAGTGCGTGAGCTCGCAAAGTCTGGGGCAGGCTGGGGCCTGGAGACGTTCCCAGGTTCATCCAAATGGTCCGGTCAAGGGTAGATTTGGGGGCCCAGGCCTGCTTTGCCTCTTGGGCTGGCTGATTGGCAGTCCCTCTGCTCTTGGCAGTCTGAGGAAAGGTCGGTGCTCTTCGCGGTGGCCTCAGGGCTGGTGAACTGCACCAACAGCTACGACTATGAGGAGCCTGACCCCAAGATGGTGGAGCTGGCCAAGTATGCCAAGCAGCATGTGCCCGAGCAGCACCCCAAGGTGAGGGGGCCGCTCGAAGGGTTTGGGGATGTGTCTGCATCATCGGGGCCAGGTGACTCCCGGGCATACACTGCAGATGAGGCTTCCGTTCAAAGGGGTTCCTTTCCCTTTGTTTTCATGCTTATCGATTTGTGCTGTTAGGAGGGTCCCCTTCCCCTGTGTAGTCAGCTGAGTCCCCTCTGTTAAACCGCCTCCTTCCCTAGGACAAACTGAGTTTTGTGCGGGCTCGGGTGAAGAAGCTGCTGGCACAGTCAACGTCTGGCCCTTAAATGGTGCTCTAGGCAGTGTTCGTGTTGCTTACCGGGAGACCTCAGAGCGGTGACGAGAGTCTGAGCAGGGCTGTTGGCAAGTCTGGGGAGAGGGGAGGAGAAAGGTGAGGGCGGCACAGTCAGGGCGTTGGGGCCTGACAGCTTGGGCCTTATCTTCCTGGGCACCTGTTGGACACTGAAGGGCTTGTCCCTACAGGCTCTTCTCCCGCTGGCCCTGGAAGGCACTGATGTGGGGCAGACAAAGGCAGCCCAGGCCCTCGCCAAGCTCACCATCACCTCCAACCCAGAGATGACCTTTCCTGGAGAGCGGGTGCGTGTTTTCCCCAGCCCTGGCCTCTCCTCTACCCCTTCACTGGCCCCTGAGGGACTCTGACCCAGGGCTGTGGCTCCTTCTCAGGACTGACAGGAAGTGGCAGCTTTACTGAGCCCTGGGAGCGCAGCCTCCTCTTGGGGTTGACGGCCACCTGCAGGGTCACTGGGGTTGCTGGGGGCTGGGGCGAGTGGCCCTGACAGGTGGGGTGCATATCGCAGATCTATGAGGTGGTCCGGCCCCTTGTCTCCCTGTTGCACCTCAACTGCTCAGGCCTGCAGAACTTCGAGGCGCTCATGGCTCTGACGAACCTGGCAGGGATCAGCGAGAGGCTCCGGTGAGGCTCCTTGGGATGTGGGCCTGGGTAGTGGATCAGGGTTTAGATCATCCCCAGTAAAGCACTTTTCAGTTTGGGAAGCACTTTTTGGTCGTTGCTCTGCTTGAGCCTCGCAGTGACTTCTCTGTGTTGTGGAGGAGACGGTTCCGTGAGGACAAGGCTCTGGGCGGTGACAGTGTAGGCTGCGCAGTTAGACTGCCTGGGGTCCAGTCCTGGCTTCTCTGGTTGCTGGTGTGTAACCTCAAGCGAGCTACTTAACTGTTCGGTGCCTCAGTTTCTCCCTTGGTGAAATGGGGTGGTTATAGTACCCACCTCAGGAAGTCGTGGTGAGGAGAGTTAAATGAGAAATACGTGTAAAAACACTTAGTACGGTGGTGCCTGGCTCCCAGTGATGCGCCCAATCAGTATGTATGAGATGTTATTACTAATCGTGACCTTGGCTGCATTACTCACTACTCAGCCTTGGTTTCCTCTCCTGCAAAGTAGTCATGACGGTCACACCTGCACCTTCACCATGGGGCCGTGGGTCAGATGAAGTCAGTCTAAGTGCTGGGTCAGGGTAAGTGCTCAAGTGGTAGGTGTTAGCATCGTCAGCACCACCACTCTTGTCTCCTAACTCCTACTTTAGAGCATTCTCCATGGTCCCATGCCATCTCCTAGGCCTGGTATGGGGACATGGGGGTGGTGGCGGTGGATGCAGAGGCTCTGACGGTATTGACCCTTCCACCCTCGGCTCTGCAGGCAGAAGATTGTGAAGGAGAAGGCTGTGCCCATGATCGAGGGCTACATGTTTGAGGAGCATGAGATGATCCGCCGGGCAGCCACGGAGTGCATGTGTAACTTGGCCATGAGCAAGGAGGTGAGGGTTGATCTAGGCAGTCATGCGGGCGGACATGCAGAAGTGTCTGTGCCCTGCGAGGGCTTTGCCCCAGATGACTCGGTCCACTCCTTCCTCTGACCACAGGTACAGGACCTCTTTGAAGCTGAAGGCAACGACCGCCTGAAGCTGCTGGTGCTGTACAGCGGGGAGGATGACGACTTGCTGCGACGGGCGGCCGCTGGGGGCCTGGCCATGCTCACCTCCGTGCGGCCCTCACTGTGTGGCCGTATCCCCCAAGTGGTCAGTGCCTCTTCTCTATTGGGGAGGGGAGGAGAGCCAGGCACCCCCCAGGCATGGTGGAGATTCGTGGGACAAGTCTTAGATGGGACCAGTGTGCCAGGGTTCAGCCTGTTGCTCAGTGGTCACACTACCCTGTTCGTTGCAGACCACACACTGGCTGGAGATCCTACAGGCTCTGCTTCTGAGCTCCAACCAGGAGCTACAGCACCGGGGTGCTGTGGTGGTGTTGAACATGGTGGAGGCCTCACGAGAGATCGCCAGCACGCTGATGGAGAGCGAAGTGCTGGAGATCCTGTCTGTGCTGGCGAGGGGCAAGGAAGGCCCTGTCACTAGGGCGGCCGTGGCTTGCTTAGGAAAAGCAGTGGAATATGGGCTCATCAAACCCAACCAGGATGGACAGTGAGGGCCTGTCTCATGCACACACTACCTCTTGCAACACAGGGAACAAGGACGTGCAGCTCTGGCTGGTAGGGGCTGGGATGCGGAGCACTCTGGCCTCTTCATCCAGCTGCCCTTTGATGTCCTCTGTCTTGAATCGGGCCACGTTTATCACAGCCAGCACTGCCTCCAGCCACATGCAGAAGGGCTTTTCCTGTACTACTGTAGACAGCTGGGAATGGGGAAGGTGCACCCTAACTCAGCCTGTGGGTCTGGCTTCGGAAGGGCTCACCAGGCAGCCTCACACACACACAGCTGTGAGCATCACGCAAGCCTGCTAGCAGGTCTGCCCCTGACTCCCTAATAAAAGTGTGTGGAACTCACGTGTGTGCCCTGTCAGTGGCCTGGAGGGCTGGCTATGGGCCAGTCTCTGGAGGAGGAGCTGAGCATGTCATGGTCACAGCAGAGTCACCTCTACCGAAGGAATCCTGTGGATTCCCCATGGGCCTGCTGAGTTGTGCTTTACCCTGATGGAGGCTCAAGGGTTAAGGCTAGAGACCTGATCAGTGACTCTGCGGGATGGAGTACTAAACGAGTTTAGGGTAGAGATTCCTGGATGCTGGCTTTCGATACTTTTGTCTTTATGTCGAGAGTTCTCCTTGACCTCCATTCAGGTGGTGCTCGGCTTCGGGTTGGGGGTGTAGTCGCGACAGGGTCAAAGCCTGGGCGGGCTTCCCCACCTGCCTGCTTCCGCCTTGAGGGCTAAGCCCGGCGGAAGCTCATTGGCTCAACGGTAACTGGCAGGTCCCGAGCCAATGGGAAGGAAGGCCCGCCCAGGCGCGCGCCTCGTGCAGCTGCTTCCGGTCGTGCTGCAGTCCTGCGAGTGTGAGGAAGTGAGACGGCAAGGCGGGGTGTTGCGGGGTCGCTGGTCGCCGGTCGCCGACCCTTTATCTCGGCTTTTTAGGGGTGTCACCCAAAGGCTTCAAATTAGGGTTCCGCGGCCCCTCGGGTCCTGCGGGGGGCGAGACCCTCCGGTTTATCTCTGCCGCAGACCCACGGCCACCGGGGGTTTCGTCCATTTCGCACCCGAGGCCGCAGCCGCCCAGCACTGGCTTCGGGACCAGCTCCACGGAGCTTGGACCGGACGGGCTGCCGCGGAGACCGCTGGTACCGAGGTGAGCACCGCCCCCCGCGATCGGTGATGCCACCGCCCTTGCCGACAATTGGCTCCGGGCGCCTCGCCCAGGGCGCGAGCCTTCCAACCATTGCCCTTGGCGTCTGTCGGGTCCTGGGCGGCCGCTCTGATGAGTCCCCGCCTTTCCATCCTCAATCGCAAGGAGCTGCCAGAGGGGCTGAGGGCACAGGGTCAAGATCAAGTTCAGAGGCCCCCCTACCCCCCTTGTATTGGGATTGGACACGGAAGAGTTTAGGAGCCGAGGCCTGAGTCAAGGAGCGTCGGCCCAGGGTCTTGAAAATGCCTGTGAAGTTATGATCGAGCCAAACATTCAGTAGCCAAATATGCAGTTCTGAGCAAGGGGTGTTGCTGTTGTAACCACTAGACTGCGTCTGTCTCCCCATTGGTGCGTGAGCTCCTCGGGAGCAGACAGCCTTTCTCATGGGCCCCTAGAAAGGAATCAGTAAATGACTAGATGGGCTCCAGTTGAAACTGTGTTCAAATAGGTCCCTGAATACCCATGGTCATTTTTAGTAACTAAGTACTGGCCTTAGTAAGCTAAGACCGTGTGCTTATCATGTATGAGCCAGCCCTTGAACCTTTATTCCAAACAATTCCACACGATCCGAATAAACACCCCTTCCCCTACCCCCTCCTTTGTAAAACTGAAGAAACTGAATTGGACTCAGAGCTGAAATGAATCAGCTGAGGACACAAGGCCCTGGTAGCTGCAGAAGCAAACGTGTGAACCCTGGAGCCGTTGTGTCACCGTACAGGGTACCATCTACCTGTCACTTTACAACTCCACTGGTGGGAAGAGCACTGTACGTGGAGTTGTGGGCCTGGAGTTTAGCCCTCTGCCCTCCTCGGTTCTAAGCTGTGTGATTATGTAAGGGTTACTTTCTCTTACTGTCAAATGGGGACAATTCTAGTTCCCAAGATTCATGGGATATGTCCCTGACACTGGGAATGTGGAGCTGAAGGGGCTCAGATCCTAGTCCGACGCCTGAGGGAGAGGCCACAGAAATCCCTGGTGCCCACTCTGTGGGGCGCTGAACTTGCTTCAGTCAAGAGGGAGGACAGAATCCTAAATCTCTAGGACTTTAGTCAAGGCTCTCAGCGAACGCTGTGGAATGGAGATCATCTGGCTCTGTGGTTAGGAGGGTGGTACTCTCCCCATCTTCCAGGTAAGGCAGCTGCCGTGGCCGGCCAGGGGCTGTGTGCTCGGATCGCCGCCCACCCAGTCGGGTGGCGGCCAGCAGAGGGCGCTGCCAGGGCATGGCGGAGGAGCGTCCCGGGTCCTGGTTCGGCTTCGGTTTCTGCGGCTTCGGCCAGGCGCTGGGTTCGGGCCACGGGCGCCAGGTCCACAGCCCTGAGCCGCTGTGCGCGCCGGACCCGAACGCCGACATTTGCCGCGTGAGCGCGAGCTGGAGCTACACCGCCTG